TAAAACTGTATTCATGTTATATATGTATGTAAACATAATATGTGCGTTTGTAATAAAATAATAATAAAAATACATAGATAAATTATAATATTTTACAGGTGTTAATGCTATGCAGTGTTATCAGTGTAATAGCCGGAATAATAGCCAATGCGCTGATCTTGTCCCTCCAGATTCTATGAAGATAGATTGTTCGGATCTTAAAGATGGTGCAAAATATACAATGTGTCGAAAAATTACACAAGTCATCGAGTTTAGCGTTAATGGCTGTATGTATTAACATTATTGCTATTAATTTAATATTCTTACAATAATTGAATTATATTATATACATAAAATTGCACTTTTAAAAAAGATAAAAGAAAGAGCTCCCGACAAAATATTTCAAAAGTAGTTTTAGTATGGAATTGGAAACGTCTTTTGAAAGACAAATGACAATTGTTTTGACTTACCTCATATAGAGTTAATGTTTAAGATAAGACTAATTAATATCTAAAATATAATAAATAAATATTTCTTATATAGTACCACCTGATACGCGAGTTATTCGAGGATGTGGATGGGATGAGTCAAATTATAAAGGCAAATGTTATCAACGAAGTGGTTTTGGTGGTAGACAAGAAGTTTGCTCCTGTTTAACTGACTACTGCAATTCAGCAATACCTGGACCTGGACTTTTGCTGCCTCAACATTTTATTTTCTCATGCATTTTGATCAGCGTGCTCTTAATGATTTTCTAGAAATGGCACTATTTAAAAAAAAATATTTGAATTTTCCAAAGAATTTTATTATAAGTGTATGATGGAAGTTTAGAAATAATAGAAAAATTAGTGCTTTTATTGTTAATACAAATTGAAATAGTAGAAAGTTATATAGAATAACATACAAAGTATAATAAAATTACTATGATTAAAATAAAACAATTTTACAATAGAATAGATAGTAATAAAAAATTCTATTCATTGAAGAATCAATTTTCAGAATTATGTACGTGTACATATTTTATATATATATATATATATATATACATACACACACACACACACACACACACACACACACACACACACACACACACACAT